CAGACAGGGTTATTCTGTAGCTTTGGAGCCTGTCCTGGAACTCGCTCTGTAGATGACCAGACTGGCCTCAAACTCACAGAGATCCTCTTGTCTCTGCCTCCTGAGTGCTGGAATTAAAGGCGTGGGCCACCACCACTTGGCTGTTTTCTATTTTTTGAGAGTAGCTCAGGATGGCTTTTAACTCAGAACCTTCTTAGCCTCCAGAACATTGGGTCTCCAGGCATATACCACTACATCCAGCTCTATCTCTGTCTCTGTCTCTGTCTCTGTCTCTGTCTCTGTCTCTGTCTCTGTCTCTCTCTCTCTGTGTGTGTGTGTGTGTGTGTGTGTGTGTGTTTATTACAAAATTTTGTGTCCAGGGATGAATCCTCTAGCTGGGTCAGTAAGCAAGGCACTGGAGATCTTGCAATTTCTGCAGTGCAAGCGGGAAAGTGCAGATTATGGCCATACCCTGAGTAGGTGGCCCAGGCAGACTTCCCAGTACATAGCCAGCAGCCAGCAGGTCAGCATGAACAAGGGAACTGGGACTTAAACTGCACCTTGCAAAGGCAGTGCACTCACCACTGAGGACAAGAGAACAATACAGAGACGGAGACGGAGACTTTGATGGGCAACACGGTGGAGCATTCTGAATCCCCAAATCTGAGATCTAAACTTTTTTCTTCATCTTTCAAGACAGGGTTTCTCTGTGTAGTCCTGGATGTCCTGGAGCTCACTCTGTAGACCGGGCTAGCATCGAAATCACATGATATTTGCTTGCCTCTGCCTCCCGAGTGCTGGGATTAAAGGCATGTGACACCACTGTCTGGCTCCAAACTTTTTTGACAGTCATGAAATTCCAGGTTTCAGGCCTCAGGACTCAAGAGACAAGACAGGAAAAGGGCCCAGATTTGGAGTAGCCTGGGCTATGTAGCAAGTTTCAAAGTAGCCTGGGCGAACAGTGAACTCTTGTCTCAACAAATAAGCAAACAAACAAATAAATAATTGCCGGGTGGTGGCTGCTCACGCCTTTAATCCCAGCACTCAGGATCTCAGTGAGTTTGAGGCCTGCCTGGTCTACAAAGTGAGTTCCAGGACAGCCAGAGCTCTTACACAGAGAAACCCTATCTCAAAAAACAAAACAAACAAATGGATCAATAAATAAAAACAAAAAGTTTCAGATGTGGAAGTTAAGGAGAGTCAATTGGTAACATATATGCAAATGTCCCCAAATCTGAAAAGTTCTAAAATTTGAAGTCTTTCTGTTCCCATCCCAACTGAGGGCAGAGTCTAGGGACACTTGCCTCAGGTACTACCCAGGAGGAGCTCAATTCTACCTGCCAGCCCACAATTCTCAAGTCCAAATGTACATTAGAACTTACTGGGGAGGGCCAGTGAGATTGCTGGGCAGGTAAAGGTGCCTACTGCACACCCAAGGACCTTTTGGATAACGGGTACTTTATATTTTATTTGCATGTTTCTGTCTATTGCGGGTGTGGAAGGTCAGTGGACAGCTTGGAGGGGTTATTTCTCTCCTTCCACCATGTTGGTTCTAAGGATGGAATTCGGCTTGGCAGGCTTGGCAGCATGCTCCTTTACCCACTAAGCCTTCTCTCTTAGTCCTCTCTGCAGATATATATATATATATATATATATATATATATATATTGTTTTTTGTTGAGACAAGGTATCATTGTATATCCTTGGCTAGTCTGGAACTTGCTGTATAGATGAGGCAAGTCTTGAACTCACAGAAACCCACCTGCCTCTACCTCCTGAGTGCTGGGATTAAAGGTACACACTGCCACGCCCAGCTATATTTTAGAAGGGGACTCCTCCTGACACTCACACACATAGCAGACTCTTATTGCTAAGGTGGCTGCTGCCATTGAGCAGCACTAGGGGGCAGTATCTGGGTTCTGGCAGCTTTCCAACAACATCCCCAGCCCTTAAAGCTGAACATTCCTTCCCAGATCCCATCTGCTTTGGCCCAAGAATTAATGCCCCCCTAGAGGGACATTCTAAGCCTTTAAAAATCTTAACCATGACCTGGAGAATACAATAATTTCATGAAGACCATATTCTCTAGCCATGTAAACCTACTTACAGTACTTCATTAGCACTGTTGTCGAGGAGGGGGTAGAGTAGGGGTTGAGGGTGGGGAGGAGTCAGGCACGCCCAGCTTACCTTCTGGGTCATCTCGGATCACCAGGAGCCCATTCCTGCACACAACCTTCCCTGTGGTAGCATCTAGGAATATTAGCGACGGAATGTTGGAGATTCGGTATTTGTTCCAAAGTTTAAGCTATAAAAAGAAAAACACAACACGTTAGTTAAAGTCAAACCAAATTAATTGCAGAGTTCTTTCAAGCCCCAGGAATAGATAAGTGGAGGACCCTGAGATCTAGAAAGGTTCATGATGTTACAGAGGTGGTTGGTAGGGGGACATTTAGTCTCTTACTGATCTCCAAGGAACACCTGAAAGTCACAATAAAGAACTGCCATCTTTGGACAGCAATGGGACCTCCACCAGATGACTTGGGAAGGAAGGAAATCACCTCCACCCAGCAGCAGGTAGCAAGCAGCAAGCAGCAAGCAGCAGCCAGTCAGCAGCCAAGGAGGAAGGGACAGGCTTCCCAACAAGAACAAGTTGTTAAAAGATGTGGCTCTCTGTACTTGTCCGGGCCTGTGACTGAAATAACATTTTTGCTCTACACATGTGCCATTTGTCTTGCTGAATGAAGGCAAAAAACCTGCTCCAACCCTCAGCCCTCAGTGCCACTCCAAACAGCCTCTAGGCTCCTGGCAGAGTGTTGACATTGGCAGGGAGAACTATTAGGTCTAAGAAAGATGCTGAGAACCTGAGAACATCAAAGCCCTGGAAGAAGCTAGATTTTCACAGGCTCTATTGCTCGTTCATGGCCATGGGTGAACACCCATTCGGTGGGCTGCTGTGTGCCCTGAAATGTAACTATCAAGCCATAGCACCAAAACCATGAAGGGAAATGTTGGGTTAACTACATAGCTCCAAACAGAAAGAAGCAAAAGACAGATGCATGAGGCATGTAGGACTACCTTTTGGGGGACCTGGGAGTGCAGGCAGGGAGGCTTAGCCACTGGCCAAACAGGGCAGGGACATGTGGAAGGGTAACAGGTCCCAGAAGGTAGCTGCACCCAGCAGAGGGGAAGGAGCATGTGGTTGGAGCTCTGATAGTACTTAATACAACTGCAGTCAGAGTCTCTGCCAAGAAACTCGAGGCTTCTCGGCCTATAGAGAAACATGGCTTGGCAGAAGTGTTGTGGGACCCTACTTCAAACTGGGTGGCCAAGCTTGATTGCTTACTGACCCCACATTCTGGTGGGCTCACAAAACAGCCTCTTAACAAGAATGGCTGTGAGCGGCTGTGTGCAGCTTCAGGACCACCACTGCATCATTGCACGGAAGCCTGACCCTGGGCTCAGATCAAGCATCCTTCTAATGTTATTGTTTTGAGACCAGGTCTCACCACATAGCTGGGGCTGACTTAGCATTAGTGATGAAACTCAGGCTAGCCTTGAACTCTGATCCTCCTGCACCAGTCCTGGCCCTTGATGAGACCTTTTTCTTTCTTTGAGACAGGGTTTCTCTGGGTAATATCCCTGACTGTCTTGGAACTCACTGTATAGGTCAGGCTAGCCTGGAAATCTGAGTCAATCTGCCTCTGCCTCCTGACCGGCACCCAGCACCTATTTGTGAAATATACTTTGGAGATTTGAAAACAAACAAGACATTCCACTGGGATTAGTAACTTAACTTTGCTGTGCCAGAGTCCAACCAGGTTACTTAAAGGTGTCCAAGGCAGGGGGAGGGTTGTGCACTGGAAAGACACCTCAGCAGTTAAGAGCACTCGCTCCACAATCATGAGGACTGGAGTTCAGATCCCAGCACCCATGTAACAAGCCTGCCATCCTTATATAAATGTCTGTAACCCTAGTTCCAACGGTAGCAGACAGGAGGATCACCAGGGCTTGATGGTTTCCAGCTAGCTGAGGCTCAAGCCCCAGGTATAGAGAGAGACCCTGCCTCAAAGAAATAAGTAAGCAACAGAGGAGGGCACACAATACCCTCTTGCCTGTGGATACTCATACACACACAGTCTTTGTGCCCCATCCTACATAAAAGGAAGGAAGGGAAGGAGGGAGGGAGGGAGGAAGGGAGGGAGGGAAGAAGGGAGGGAGGAAGGAAAGAAGGGAGGGAGGAAGGAAGGAAAGAAGGAAAGAAGGAAAGGAGAGGAGAAAAAATTTAAACAGGAAGATTATGATCACTGAATTAAATTTTTTTGTTGTTAAAACTATAATTCTTGAGGGGGGTCAAGTAGTCACTTCAAAAAATTGGGAAACAGCAAATCACACAAATGAAGCATTAACCCAGGATCCATTGCTTGGGAATTCTGAGACCATCCTCCACTCCCACCAGCAGCAAGGGGAGAGCCCGTTTCTTAGCCCCCTGCCAATGTTATCACTGATGCCAGTTTTTCCTATCAGATAGAGAAGATGCACACCTCACTCTCCTTGCTATCTGTGGGATATTCCTTTCCACTGTGTGAATATATGTTACTGTGATTGGGTTAATAATGAAGCTGACAGGCCAATAGCTGAACAGGTAGAGGTTAGGCGGGACTTGCAGACAAAAGGAGAGCACAAAGAAGAAGGGGAGGAGTCTCAGAATCTCAAGCAGGCTCAGAGAAAAGCAAGCAAGATGAAGGTGCTTCATTGAAAGAAGGTACCACTATGTGGCAGACAGTAGATAAGAAATGTGGGCTAATTTAAGAGCTAGTTAGTAACAAGCCTAAGCTAGCAGTTAAGCATTTATAATTAAAAGTCTCCATGTGGTTATTTGGGTACCGGCTGGTAGGACAGAAAAGCCCACCCACAACTATCTTATACTCACTCATGTTAGCACACGCATAGCTAGTAATACATTGTTAGCTCATATACAGCTAACAATACATTGGGTTTTCTTCTATGTTTTAGAACAGGCAAATGCTGAGATTCACTATATAGCTTTAAACTGGGTGCCTACTACGTGCTAGGTCTTGTCTAAACACAAGAGGCATGAGAAAGAATAAAGCAGATGAAGTTACTGCCCTGGTAGAGCTTCTGCTCTCATGGTTGAAAAAGATGATAAATAAGAATAGAAATGGGCCAGGTGGTGGTCTATAAAGTGAGTTCCAGGACAGGCTCCAAAGCTACAGAGAAACCCTGTCTTGAAGAAAAAAAAAAAAAAAAAGAAATGGAGCAACAATTTCAGATACTCATAGGGACTAGAAAGAAACCCTTGCAGGGAAAGAGCAAAGAGATGTTTAGAAGAATGGCCCACATACACATACACACACACAAGCACACATGTATGATGAATGACATGGGGACACAGACTTTTAACATGCAATAAAGCAAGTTCCATGCATGGAGATGGCCACCTATAGCCCAAGGGACCTGCCAAAAGGCAGAAGGCTAGCTGCAAAGGCCAGCGGGAATGCAGTCAAAGCTATAGCCCTAGTCTCTTACCTATATGTTTTAAGGAAATAGGGGCAGGGGCGTAGCTCAGTGGTAATAGACAGGTAGACAGACAGACAGGCAGGCGGGCGGGCGGGCATATGTGCCATATGTATGCAGGTACCCTTGGAAGCCAGAAGAGGGTATCAGCTCTCCTGGAACTGGACTTACAGGTGGTTTTAAGATGCCTGACGTGGGTGCTAGGAATAAGCAAATGTTCTTAACTACTGAACCATCTCGCCAGCCCTACCCTTGTGGGAGCTATTCAGGGGGAGGGGTGTAAAAAAAACTAATGATAGCAAAAAGAAAGAGTGATAACAACAGTGTCCAGGCAACCTGTTTCGTAGAGTTGCTGCCTCTGCAGGATGAGAAGGACTCAGTGCAGACTGTTCCATCCCATATAAGCACAGATCCACCATGGAGAACTAAGAACTCCAATAACCTTCCTCGTCTTCCCTCCTACCTAGAGCGTAGTGCTCCTTCCTCCTTGGGTCTCAGGAGGGTAGGAGGGGTAGCAGGTCATGGCTGGTGTTTCCATTGATTGTTGGATCCTTGTTTCCAAGAACAGGAACACTGGCTTAGGGGAAACATTTGTTGCTCTGTGCTTATAAGGGACACTGAAAAGTTGATCCTTTTATAGTCTAACCGATCACAGTCTAATTTTATGACAATGATCTATTTAGTAACTTAGTCATCAGTGAGCTCTGTCTGTGGCTTGGCCCAAACTTTCTCAGGCTGTGGATCAAGGCTACTCAGCTTGGAAACAGTGCAGATGGCCCAGAAACAATCATTCGGACCTTTTCTCTCTCTTTTTTTTTCCTTTTCTCTTTTAATATTTAAAATTTTACTTATTTATTGGAGACAAGAATAGGGTGCCAGATCACTAGGAACTAGAGTTCCAGAATGTTATGAGCTGCCATGTGGGTGATGGGAATCAAACCTGCTCCTCTGGAAGATCCAGAAATGCTCATAACTGCTGAGCCATCTCTCCAGCCATTCTTGTCTTTATTTTGAAATTTCCATGCTTACATACACTACTTGTGTGCAAGTGCTCACAGAGGCCTGAAGAGGCATCAGATGCACTGGAGTACAGGTAGTTGTGGGTCTCCTGATGTGGGTGCTGGAGCCAAGCTCAGTGTCCTCTAGAGGAGGACACCCTCTTACCCAATGTGTCATCTCTCCAAGTCCCTCACCTCTGACACCTGAACCAGAAAGCTGGCCCTTAGGCTGAAGTGGTCGTCTTTGCCTATGCTGAGGGCTCTGTCACACTGAACAGATATGAGAAAAGTTTGTGCTTCAGGAATCATTCACTCTGCTTTAAAGTCCGCTATGGGTATCCCAGAGGCCTCTGAAAACAGAGGGGGGCTGGGGAGGTCACACATACATTCCATCATAGAAAATGTACAGACAAGCTGGGCGGTGGTGGCACACATCTTTGATCCCAGCACTCAAGAGGCAGTGGCAGGTGGATCTCTGTGAGTTCAAGGCTAGCGTGGTCTACAAAGTGAGTTCCTGGACAGCCAGGACTATTTCACAGAAAAACCCTGTAGAAAGAAAGAAAGAAAGAAAGAAAGAAAGAAAGAAAGAAAGGAAGGAAGGAAGGAAGGAAGGAAGGAAGGAAGGAAGGAAGGAAGGAAGGAAGAAAGGAAGGGGGAGGGGGAGGAAGAAAGGAAGGAAGGAAGGAAGGAAGGTAAAAGAAAAAATGAAGTACACACATAGAAAGTCTGTGTGTGACATCACAGAACTCATGAATCCTGAAGCCCACTCACTAGTGGGGCCTGCAGAACTGCAGCATGTCTGTGGGTCCCAAATAAAGACCCTTTGTCTTAAAAGACTTCATATTGTACCGATCCTGACTTTGAAACAACAGGGAGAGCTGTGACACCAACCACCTTTGCCCCCACCATTCAAATGTCCAACAGAAGCTGCACCTGCCTAAAACCTAAGCCACCAGCATGGTGAAGTGAGTGGCAAACACCAAGGTCCTGCTGCCAGAGTCCTGAGTCCTTTTCAGGCTAATGAGTAGCTATAGCATCCAGACCACCATTCATCTGAGGGCAGGGATGATACCTACATAACTTAGCACTGCAAGCTAGGTGCACCTTTTAAAGGGCAACCCAGCAACCATGTGTAATGGGGCACATCTCTAATCCCAGCACTCAGGAGGTAGAAGCAGATAGATCTCTGTGAATCTGAGTCCATCCCTGGTCTACACAGAGAGCACCAGGACAGCCGGGGCTATATAGAGAGACCCTATCTCCAAACCTACGACCTCCAAAAAAGCACCTCGAAAAGTGAGCTCATAGTCTTCTTGGTATTACAGTTGAGCTTTGGGAGGGGTGCTAAGGATTAAACTGAGAGTTTGTTTCATGCACTCCAGGCAAATGCTCTGCCACTAAGCCCCAGAACCCCCAGATTTAATCATCAGCACTTCATCATCTAAAAGTTTCATCTGGGGAGGAAACGTGTCAGCATGGAAAGAAAACAGGCCATCTCCTGGCCCCGAACATCGCTAGACTTCAGCGGGCAAGTTACTCCTTACTCCGGGCACATCATAGTCACACTGCAGGGTGTATAAGCCTAAAGAAGGTGTCACATGTGGAAACACTTTAATTTTAGAAGCCGGACACACATGGGATGCTTCATTAATACTGGAATCCAATTTATACTTATTTCCCCCTTGTCTTGTCAGCATCCTCTTCAAAGCATGTCTCCTTGTCAGCTTTGTTTTACAGTCAATCAATCAAGTGCACAGTTAGTAGGCTGTGAATGAGACGGCTTAGGGAATAGAGGCTTCCTTCTGAAACTGGTTATTTTGCCATAAGTACCTTATGCAACACCAGACACTTGGAGGCCCTGTTTTATGTCAGCTCTTAGTGGTTGTCTCTTAACTCTTCAACCTTAATTTCAGATTGTGTGATTGTGAGTGTGTATGTGTGTGTGTGTGTGTGTGTGTGAGAGAGAGAGAGAGAGAGAGAGAGAGAGAGAGAGAGAGAGAGTGAGAGAGAGAGAGAGACTTTATTTTTTGAGACAGGTTTCTCTGCGTAACAGCCCTGGCTGTCCTGAAACTCACTTAGTAGACTTAGGCTGGCCTCGAACTCACAGAGATTCACCTGCCTCTGCCACCCGAGTGCTGGGATTAAAGACCTGCGAGACCACTGCCTGGCTGATTTACTTTTTAAAACAGTGATATGATGTTGCTCAGGCTAACCTTGAACTTCTGGTCTCAAGCCATCCATCTCCTGCCTCATCTTCCCACGTAGCTGGGACGGCAGGCATGTGTCCTCATGCCCTGCTGGAATCCTTTTTGCTTTTGTCTCTGTGGTTTTTCTAAGAGAACCCTGACACCACATCTGACTCTGGAAGGAATTCCTACTTGGTTTCCTGCCTCTGGCTCGAATGCCTAAAAGCATGGAAACAGTGCAATCCGATGCAGTCAGGCTTGGTGGGGTAGGAGGGAGGAGGTGCTGAGTCAGGCTCTTCCCGTCCAGCTGCCTTTGAACCCGAAGACTGGATGGAGGGCAAGAACTCACATTCCACTGGATTCAGGAGATTTTTGGAACCGGTCAATGGCAAAATAAGCATTTTAATGTTTTAAGGTGGTGCTGGGGGCCATACTTTGGGGCCTTGGATATGTCAGAAAACAGTGCTCTTGAGCCACATCCCCAGTGCAATTTGTGAATCTTAAAAAGTGTCACATCGATGGTCACTGCTGCAGTTGGAAAGTGCAAGGGACTTTCACACCCACATCTGCCCTCTCTCTGGGGTCTATCTTGGCAAAAAGTCTACCCAAGGTTCATTCCAATGGCATCTGCCACTCATAGGAACTTTTTCTTCCAGTTTCCTAAAGGCTAGGTGACTACAACAGAGTATGCCACAGCAAACCCAGAACACTTAGAGATTTAATGTTAAAATATTAATGGTTAGAACTGAGGAGATGGCTCATTGGGTGTTTGCTGACCTGAGACAGGATCCCCCAGCATCCATGGGACTACGTGTAGGTGTAGTTTCAGCATGGGGATCCACAGAGGATCACTGAGTCTCCTTGACCAACCAGCCTAGCCAAAAAACCTGCATGATCCATGCTCAGTGAGAGACTCTGACTTAAGAGAACAAGGTGGACAAGATAGAGCAGGACACCTGACATCCTTCTCTGGCCTACACAGGCACATTTGCCTACCGTGTACAGGCACATGCAACCCCTCCTTTCCAAGCATATATATATATATATATATACACCACCTGAAGACTTGCTCCTTACTCCTCCCACAAATAAACAAATATTGATACTCAGTTTGCCAAATTCAGAAGCAAGGAAACAAAAGGCAACGCAGGAAAGAAACAAAGAGGCAACATTAGCTCAACTTGGCAGAAATCACAAGGGATGACCAAACAGGCTAACCAGTTTCTAGAAAATTCCAATCGTGGGCCTGATGGCAGGTTCTGGTTCCAAGGTTGTGGTTGGAACTATCAGCCCAGGGCTGCTGGCCAGAAAATCTATGATAGTGAGCCATGAAGCAATGCAGCAACTATCACAAGGGACAGGCCCAGAACTGGTCAACGGTAAAGATGTGAGCTGAAAGCAGAGCTCATCTAAACCACTCCATTAGCCAGCACCGAAGACGTTTCTGGGAAAGGCGACTTGGTGATTTCTGAGAAGGCCCAGCTCCACAGTGTGACCCCTAGATCTGCTCCCAGGCTGAGGACGGGCTCTTGCACTTGACAGAAGGGCTAAAGCTTTTATTTCTCAACAGCTGCTGCAAATCTGTGGGATGAAGCCAAAGCTAACACAGATGTAGGATTAATCAGCAAGCTTCGTGGTCAAGTCAGCTGGAGCCTTTTCAGGCAAACGCCCCCTGCCCTTCCTGCCCACACTGACTGCAGTCAAAAACCACCCTTTCCGTGTGAGGTACTCAAACACAGATTCTTGAATGTATCCCACCTTCCTAAATAAACACAACCGTAGGCCATTAAAGACAGCCAGAGGTAAAAATTCCCCCTCCTCCCATCTACTTTACAGGCTCTGGAGCCGGGATGCTGACTCAGTGCTCTCAGGGCAAGACAGATAGTGTCTCCCTGAGTGGCTCCATCTGTAAAATGGGTTAACAGAACCCGCAGACACAGGCTATGGTGAAGATCAGATGAGTCACTCTGAGTTCTCAGACGAAGGCCTGGCCCAGGTGAGTGGATGTGTAATCAATGGAGGCTCACGGTTGCCTCACATAGATTGCGCTGTTGCTATCCCCACTCGGCCATCTAGCTGCTCCTTGAGACTTTGTTCTATTCCCAGAGTTCAGACCAGATTTTTGATCCCTTTGCTCCTACAGCATGATTCCCAGGATGTGATTTGGACTGCGGCTGGAATTGGAGCAGCCTGGTCAAGCTGGTGGTCAAGTACAGTGTTGTGTATTCTTTGAAAGGTGGGTGGCCTGAAGGAGGAATGAAATGGAAGGAAGAAGGGAGGAGGGAGCAATACCAGGGCTCTTGGTCAGCCAGACCAGCTACCTAGCAACCCATTGGGCTGTTTAAATGGCTTCATGATCGGGTGTCCCCCTAATTCCTTGTGGGGAATATTCTCCGAGTCACACATAAATGGTTTGCTTCAAATGCCAATGGGATCAGGGCTCCTCTGCCTTTACCTAACAATGCTTTGCCCCATATCCTAACCACTCCCCATGCTTCCTTTGCCTGGAGCTGGCCCAGAGAACAAAACAGCATGTGAAACCAAGGAAAAGATGCATGTAGATTGGGCCAGGCTGGTCAGATCCGCCACTTCCTTTATGAGAACTCAACAGCCCCCACTGCACAATTATAGCGCAGGATCTGGAGGGAGGAGGAGGGTGTCAGCGTCTCATTGGGTAATCCAGGCTGATTGAGAACTCTCTATGTAGCCCAGGCTATCTGTGAATTTGAGATCTCTCCGCCCCAGTCTGCAGTATATAATAAGATTATGTGGGGCTTTGACCAAATATGTACACATACAACATAAAACTGATGGTGTCACCTGCTAGACAAAAACAAGCCAAAGAGACAAGAAGGAAGACTGACTTGAGTGACTACGCCGGTAAGAGTGTCACATGTTAAATAAATCACCGGCACATGACCACCTCCACTGGAAAAAGATAAAGGGTCACTCGAACCGCCCGCCATTCATGGCTGATTTAGTCCTCAGCAGTCGGTCAATTCTTTAGTCAGCACACTGTTTGTGGGAGTGCAGTATGGAATAGTAAAACGGTCAGGGAAGTGTTCTGGAGCCAGGCTGCCTGGGCCCGAATCTTGATCCCGTGATACACTAGGTGGGTAATCTTTGCATCTGTTACATCATCTCTCAGAGCCTCAGTTTCCTCAGAGAAAAATGGGGATTATAATATTACCTCACACCATTCTGTGGGAATTAGGATTTTGGAGTGCAGTTTGGTACATAGGAAGAACTCCATAACTGTCAAAAATAATGATGAGAAAAGCGGGAATGTAGCTCTCAGTGGCAGAGCACTTGCTTGGCCAGCAGAAAGCTCCGGGTTCTATTCCCAGAACCACCAAAAAGGGGGGCGGGTAGGAAGGGAAGAGAGGATGGAGGGAGGGAATTGATGATGACGATGTCACACACACAAAAAATACAGCCACTTCTCATAGACCATAAGTGGAAAAGAGGATGTACTCTAACCTTGGCCTGGCACCTATGCCAGCAGCAGGTTCCCAGTCTGGTGGGGAGGGAAAGAAGGACATGACCTCTTAGGCCTTGTGTCTACTTGGAATTTCTTCAGACACACAGACTGGGTGATACCAGGTCCTCTCTGCCTGGGGCACAAGCACCAAAGTCTCAAAGCTTTGCTTTTCTTACAAAACACTTTCTACAACAAACCACTGCAGGTAGAGAAGGTGAAACCTCATGTGCTCCTTCCATCTCTTCACCGGCCCGTGGCAGCCAGTCAGTCTCCCACGCTTCGCTGGTGCATTGAAAGCTCTGCTTCCATAGTCACGCTTCAGCCCAAGGTGCTGGCAAGGGCTGCACACTACGCTGAGCAACTGCTGCCCCTTACATCCTGCTCCGAGGTGATCACTATGCTTCAGCTACATCGAGGCAGGAACCAGAGGGCAGGGAATGGGGACGCAGGCTCTAGGGTTTGGACCCAGCCTCTCCACCTTGGGAAAATTACTTATCCTTCCCATGGTTCATTCTAGTCCAACCATCAGCTGGCCTTGTGGCCCCAACTGTCCAGGATGGAGAGCAGGCCACACACAGGAAGTGCTTAGAAATGTCCCCAGCACATGGTCTACTCAGAAATCCACGCTAGGGCAATGAGCCTGTAGTCCTCAAATTCAAAAGCACTGAGGATGCAGTTCTAGACTGTGTGCTCAGGTCACCCTAGTGCACTGGCCCTGCCAGACCTGGGACCCAGCATCACCGACACAAATACAGACCCTTTATGAGGGACTTCCTGCTAGTGGGCAGGCACATGGATTCAGATCAAGAGAAAGGGAGCTGATAGACAGGCCAGGCCACTCAGTAATAGACTACCTTTAGAAAAAACAGAGGAGGTGGTGGTGAAGGTGATAGCTCTGAGTGGAGAAAAGAGCATTCATTGGAAGAAACTGCAGCCCACCCAGGAAAACCCTGGCTTTATTACAGACATGAAGATTCTTTCCAGGCCGGCTCCAATCTGTTGTTCCTCCTGTCTCACAACAGGGAGTCACTAAGATGGGGTCACTAGTCGAAGCCACAACCAGAGGAACGTTTTGATGGGCACCATACAGATAGGAACCAGAAGTTAAAAAGCAAAGAAGCAGACCTCTGGTGGCTCAGAGCCCAGTATCTGCCCGCTGGCCAGCAGCAGCACCGGTTACATAGACAAGGTCTTGCTATGTAGCCCAGACTGGTCTTGAACTTGAGATCTTTCTGTCCTAGCTCCTATGGACTTTATAGAACCCAAGGACTATAATTATAGGAATAGGGTCCCATACAATATCTGGCTTGGTGTCTTTGGTGGTGAAGGCTACAATGGGGTACTAACAAGTACAGAGCATAAATTTGAGAAAGAGTCTGTATCCTAAAAATGGAAGACCTAGGCAGAGGAAACTAAGGAAGTGAGGTACACCCCGAGAACAGCCCTCCTCAGACTTCTTCAAGAACCACATGAAAAGCAGCTTAGTTACCAAACTTCACTAGCAGGCCCAAAATCAGACTAGTTTTCATCAACAATCATAAATTGGTATTATTAAAGTCTACAAATACCACCTCTCTCCCCTTATTTGTTTATTTTGAGACAGGGTTTCTCTAATAGCCCTGGCTGTCCTGGAACTCATTTTGTAGACCAGGCTGGCCTTGAACTCTGCCTCCAGAGTGCTGGCATTAAAGGCATTCACCACCATACCAGGCTAAAGGTCCTTTTAAAAGTGCTAAAATTTGCTAGGCTATCGTGGCACATGCCTTTGATTCCAGTACTTAGGAGGCCCAGATTGGCAGATCTCTGTGAGTTTGAGGCCATCCTGGTCTACAAAGCAAGTTCCAGGGCAGCCAGGGTTATATAGGAAGACCTTTCTCAGGAAAAAAAAAAAAAATCAAAATGCTAGAATTCAAAACCCCTCTGAATTCCTCTAGTCGGGGCTGGCATGGAATACCGGTGCCTAATGCTTGGAATACAGCATCGTTTCCAACACTGTTTAAAGGGGCTGTTTACCAAGCTGTTCGATTTCCTGCCTGAATGGCTCGATGACTGGGGAGTCTCAGTGTTTTAAGACTACAAAGGGGCATATGGCTTCCAGGATCTTCTGCACCAGCATCGCAGATGCAGCCTAGGGGAAGTGGCCGGGCTTCCCCAGGCTGCAATTCCCACAAGCTGACAGAGGGATTGCCTACAGCCCATCTGGTCCCAAAACCTCCACTGGGCAGAGTGGTTTGAAACACCCTTTTAATAACAGGCTGGAAGAGCTAAAGAAATAGCTGCGAGTTTCCTCTGACATCAGGACAAACAGCCAATCTGAGGGACAGGCGCCCCAACCTCAAAGGCAGTCACATCTAGTGGGGGATAGAGTTTCTGTGACTTGTGTCACTGGGAATCTGCTGATGTTTCCCTACACTCACACCAAGCAGTACCCTTTTGCTTAGATACGAGAACTTTGGTCTGTACCCTTCTTTAAAAGACATGTCACCTGTTTTCAATCCACACTGTTAGTGTCATAACCTAGAGGAGATTTTCTTCCAGATCCGGACAGGGCCCACAAGGTTAAAACAAAAGAGAAGGGCAGAAGACTGGTATGTTGGTGCACACCTTTAATATCAGCACTTGGGAGACAGAGACAGAGAGAGCCAGGGCTACACAGAGAAACCCTGTCTCAAAAAAATCAAAGGGGGCGGCGGTGTGTGTGTGTGTGTGTGTGTGTGTGTGTGTGTGTGTGTGGTGGAAAGGAAGTCTAAGAATGATGGAACACCATTTTGAAGAAGGACCATGCCTTGCAGATTTGGGGATTTGCTTGTCCAGGCCAAGTTACTTCCTACCTGTTCCCCCTTATCTGGAAGGTGGTGGATGGAACCAATTTACCCCAATTGATCCCACCCTTGTGGGTCCATAGTAGGTATAAGGCAATCATTTACCAGAGCAGATAAAAAGGCTTTGAAAAACAAAAACAAACCAACAAAAAGGGCCAGTGAGGCTTCTCTGTTACTTGTTGTTCTTGTTTTTAAGATTTATTTTATTTTTATTTTATGTGTATGGGTGTTCTGCCAGCATGTATGTCTAAGAAACACATGTGTGCCTGGTGGCCCAAGGGCCAGAAGAGGGCATCAGATTCCTGGAACCAGAGTTTAAGGATAGTTGTGAGCTGCCATATGGGTGCTGGGAATCAAACCTTTGTTTTCTAGAAAGGCAGCCAGTGCTTTTAACCGCTGAGCCATCTCTCCAGACCCTTGTAAGCATTTTAAATTGAAAAATAAATCATACCAAGAAACCTTCTGTATCTGAAAACAGATACCCATCTGTTTCCTCTCAGAAACAGTGTTAGCCCAGGGGACAGGACAACAGGGCTCTCCCAGATTCCTCAGTTCTCACCAGGCTGAGAAGCTAGGGCCTCATATTCCCTCTGTGAACCTTCAGAGTCCAGCGCTTGCAGGGCGCACTTCTCACACACTGTTGCCCATCAGCCAATAAACCACCCATGAGAAAGAGACACTGACTGGACAAACTGAGGTAAGGGGTTTTTAGATGTGATACACCAAGCTGACAAGAGGGAATTCCATCCTTCCAGAACATGCCCACCACCATGCAACCAAAAGCCCCTTTCAGTACACACTGAATGAGCATCTGCCAGGAAGCAAACCCTCTATCTTTCGTCAGTGCCTTCTGTGGAGGGACCAAGAAACACGGAGATGATGTCTTCAGGCCAACAGAGTGTGCTAGCTGCTTCTCACACGTGACTCCACAGACAAGCCGGAGAACGAAGTGAGCCACTATTGTGTTTCACACACTCATCATGGTTCCTAAACAGCTACTCACTAAGTTGCAATCCAAAACAGAAATCGAGCAGATAGCCTCAGAAAGTTGTGCGGCTTCCAGAAGATCAGGAATGCGATTGCATAACGCCTCCTAAACCAAATGCTATAAATTACAAGCCAGCAGGCCCAGCTTTTCCATGTCGGCTCTACGAAATGAAAATAAGAGCAGGAAGTGTGGTTTGCGTGAATGGCAGCGATGTTTTGTCATTTCAGCGCCACCCATACCTGTCCCACCGTGGAGCCATTAGCACTCAGCGCTGCACTCTTTCCAATTTCCTTCTTGATTGTTATTTCATCAGGGGATAAAATCTGCCCTCCTCCCCTCTCTGGCTGCTTACAGAGTTCTGTTTTCTTGGCAGAACTTTCTGAGTGCCCAGTTATAAATCCCTTGTTACCACTTTCCTGCTTCAGGAAGTCCCCACTGAGCCAGGGCCAAATGACAAGGAGAGGAAGCCTTTACAATGATGTGAGAAATTCCCAGTCTGGGGGGTAGGGGGGAGATCAAAGATAGTCCTAAATGCTGGGTCTGCAAGCAGCCAGGCACGGGACAGCCTTCCATAAACTGGACTGGATTGGCCCAAGATGCTAATATCACCTCACTGGGAAGCTAGCATGATAGGAGCCTCTTCAGCTCTAAAAGCAGCATCAGCCATACTGCCATGGGCTAGCTGTGTCCCATCCTAAGAAGCTGTGATCGCCACGTCCCAAGATGCCTTTATATAGAAACAGACAGCGGCCGGCATTGTTCCCCTTTACCAGCCCTTGAAAGGATTCCACAGCACAATGAAATAAGGAACAGCAGGGAGAAAGAGAGGGAGGAGGTAAATTGTTTGGAAACTAGAAGACAGGGTGGAAAAGATGAAATTCAAGACAGATGTGTGTGAGCCACAAACATATGTCCTTGAATTGATGCATCCAAAGGATTCGTGTAGAATAAGGGAAAAAGAGCGATGTATGAAATACAGAAATAAATACAGGAGTGAGCATGGAATGCGTTGTTGCACTCCCCTCTTCTCACAAAGAAACATCAATTTATTTCTCCCTTTTTGCTAAGTAATGCCATCATAAAATGGAGCATGAGAAGGATCAACGATGAAACGCTAGTAATGAAGCAGAGGTTGTCTGAAGTCCCTGTCACTCTCAAGAGGATGTCAACCACCAACAATTTACTTCCAATTACTGAGTGTTGTTGTTTTTAATCTCTAAAAGGCACTGATGCAAATAATAGCATTTGCCAGGTTCATGCCTTGCCATTAAGAAAAAAATCAAGCAGTAAATTTAGATGGGCGTTTCCATTAAAACACAAACGTTTGAGTCTCAGGCCAGAAAGCCATTTTTACAATGTGGTATTAGTGTGTGCATTACCTCTAAACAGTTAACTCAAAGGCCCCCCTCCCCCACCACAGTTGCAGAGAAAGAAAACCTAAGTAGCCAGTTCCTCCTGGTTAACTTCTCTCCGTTTAGGATGGAGATGACAAGAGGAGG